TGCAATATTTGTCCTTTTGTGACTGAGATATTTCACTCAGCATAATGTTCCAGGGTCATCCATTTTATAGAATATTTCATGAGTTCCTGGTTTTTCAATGCAGCATAGTATTCCATTATGTGAATATAGCAGAGCTTATCTATCCATTTATTTGTTGATGGCACTTGAGTTGTTTCCAACTCTTTGCTATTGCGAACAAAGCCGCAATAAACATGGGTGCGCCTATATCTCCTTGGGTGGTAGTTATGGTTTCTTTAGGGTAAATTCCCAGTAGTAGAATTGCTGGGTCAAGTCCCATAGCTTTTGATGATTTGCAAGACTATGTGTCTTCAGTTAAGGTAGCTGGAGACAAGAGGGGGCTAACATCATGGCTAGGAAAGTCAACTTTTAAGCTAACACTGCACATGCCTATGCTCGTGCATGTGATGTTTTCACTGTCTGGGGTATCTTTGTTTCATTATCTTGTTTTCCTTAAAGACTTAGCTCAAATGTTACCTCTTCTTTTTATATTTAGTCTTTTTCGACCATCCCTACTTGGATAAGTTTGAGATTCACTTTTTCAGATATCTATCATGGTAACCTACAGGGGGACTTCTATTTTAGGACCTGAAGTGTCCCATTATAGTTTTTAAAAAAGATGTATATAATTTTGTTTGGTTTTTTTGTTTGGTTTTTTTGAATATGCATAGCAAAATACTCTAGTTCACACATTATGGTTTTCGCATCTGTATCCCTGCTGTGTCAAGGACAAGGATGAAAACTTATTCATGTTTCTATTCCTAGCATATGGGACAAAGGAAAAAATGAATGCGTAATCAGGTTGTCATTTTGTTCTGCATTGTCAGCAGAACTTCTGCACAGGCTGAATTTGTTCATTGGCCACAATATTCTTAGAATAAATTCCTGGAGAGTCTTATGGTGTAAAAATGATGGGGAATATTGAAAACTTTTGGTAGCTGCTTTTGAAAAGTTTACCGGAAAACTGATGGAATAATTTACAATGTCCATTAGTCTCCGCATCAGAAGCAAGTGTGTGTGTGTGTGTGTGTGTGTGTGTGTGTGTGTGTGTAAAATTTTTTTTGAAATCTTCCTAATTCACAAGGATATCTACTGAAAAATACATGGTGGAGGGATGTTAAAAACATTTTTCCCTTCCTCATTCACCTTCATACAGCTTAATATAATTTTTGTTAGGTTCCCCCCCCTAGTTTTTATGGGTTTGTTTTGGGGGTTTTTTATTGTTGTGTGTGCCATCAGGTCAAATCTCACTGGCACTGGAGGACACTGCCCATCCTTCTCCAGCCAAGTATTTGGTGGATTCAAAGCACAGCTTCTTGCCAGTAGGCCACCAGATCTCCCCTACTCCCTTAGGTTTTGAGTAAACTTTACTTGGAAAGCTTTAAGATAATTCCCTTTACAGGTATTGGTCAATTATGATAAAACAAGCCTATTGGTTAAATTAAATACTGTTTAATCAATGATACTGTAAGACGTCCAGTGAGGGATACATGTAAGATTTGGAATTTGTTTTTTCTTTTAGCAATTACTTTGCTGTTGACACAGCCTCAGCTATTGCCATTGCTCTGATGACATTTGGCACTATGTATCCCATGAGTGTGTACAGCGGGAAGGTGTTGCTCCAGGTAAGATCCTTTTAGTGTGCATTCTGAAGTGCAGCCAAGTTCTCCTGCCAGATCACAGCATCGTTCATCTTCTATTAGATTGTGAAATAAGACATTGTTAGAAATTAAATTAAAAAGTAATTTCTGGAATTTATATAGTACGAACCAGATAAAATTCCATTGGCCCATAAAATGTGGCAAAGCCTCCTGTAACTGTGCTGTAAGACAAGAATCACGAATTTAAAGTTCTTGTCTCTAGTAATGTTTAAATGATGATGTTACTTTGAAAAATACTCATTTTATATTAGTTTTCTGATACTTATTCCCCAATAAATGTGGCTTCACTCTTGTATAATCAGATTATGATTCTTATTTTCAGTCATTAGACTCTATCTACTGCCACCAATCAGTTCTGACTCACAAAGACCATTCATTGAGTTCCCAAGGCTGTAAATCTTTGCCAAGTTTCCTGTTGGTGGATTAGAACCGCTGACCTTGTAGGCTACCACACCAGGGCTCTAAACTTGGCTGATGAGACTTTACATTTCAAGGTTAAAATTTAGAATGACAGATTGCAACTTACTTCTAAATAGAAGTGCACTTGTCAGGTGCCTAAGTAGAAAATTAGTTTCCCATGATTGTATATATAATCTTTTTTTTTTCTTTATCTTACTATCATGCTTTTTATAAACGTTAGAGGCCATATACAGCTTCATCTCACTTTGTATAGGACATATGACTATTGATAAAGTCAGTATGATATAACATGTATATAATGTTGCGCGATTCTATATAATACTAGTAATGAAGTACAAAAATGTTGATTTTCAGACTATGTGTTCACGATTTTGGTAGTGTGTTGGTTCTTTAAGTTTTATGTAGTGTGGAGTAGATTATTAGTAAATTAGCATGAGCTGATTCCTGATACTGGTAGGACCAGATGAAACCCCTCTTCCCAAATCATAAAGGTGCAAGTCAGAGCAGAAGCTGTAAGAAAATGTATGTGATTTAAAAAAATTTTGTTGTTTCTAATAACAGACAACAAAAGGTATACCAGTTCAGGGAATGGGGTTGTTGTGTGTCGGCCGGACTGCTGTTGTGCAGCGGCGGCCGGAGGCCAGTATTGGGCAGGAGCTTGGGGTGCGATGTAGGTCGCGACGTCCTAGAACTGGTTCCTGTGTTTTTCTAGGGCATGAGTCTTGCTAATCAAAACAGAATTAAAAATATTGCAAAATAATGAAGCTAAATATCAAAAGAAGATGGGAGGAATATACTGAGTCATTGTATCGAAAGGAATTGGCAAATACAGAAGAATTTAAT